TATATATATATATATATATATATATATATATATATATATATATATATATATATATATATATATATATATATATATATATATATATATATATATATATATATATATATATATAAGCGTGTGAAATTTGTGAACTATATGTTTGTGACTCTAGCATTTTCCGAATCGATATCATTTGATGTTTTCTTTAATTTTAAGATGAATGGAGTCAATGGACCAATCAATTTGAAATAAACGAAAATATTTAATCAATATGGGAAAAAGACTAAAGTAGGACTAAAACATTGAAAATATGCCAAAATAAGACTTTCATGTTTTTATTCTCAAAGTAGGACTTACATTACCAAACATAGTCATATACATTACCAAAAAAGTATAGTAATTTGCACATGTACACTGCCACATTACCACAATGTAAAGGCACATTATCACAGTGCAAAGTCCTATTACGGGAAAAAAATATGAAAGTCTTCACTACGTCAAAAACAGATGTTGACAATTGTTCTTTTTAGTAGTCTAACTATGCTAGTTTCAGTAGTCTTCCGAGCAGCTGTCTGATATATTTACAAACTACTATTTAAAACAATTGTGTAATACGATTGACGACACCTATTTTGTGATGTTTCAGAGTACATGTTTTTGAAGTTATTCTCGCATGAGTAAGACATCTATTTTCTAGAGTTAAAAACAACTGTGTTGTTTTGTTGTCTATCTATAATGAATATAACTGTTGTTTTTGACTTCAGACTCCTATTGCGTGGTGTTGTCGTTCAACAATAGAGACATCTAATTTCAAAAGTAGTTGAAAGATATATCAGACAGCTGCTTAGAAGACTACTAAACAAAAATAGCATCGGACAACTGTTATCTTGTGTTATATTTCTAAAATGTAGACTACTAATTTTGTTGTATTTTAAACAACCATTTCTTTCACTTGTATAGTGCTCAATAACACTACGCTTTGTTGTAGTTGTCCTTGAAGTATTCAAACTATCTTTTTACACCGTAGTCAGATTGTAAATCGAACTACGGCTCCGAAGACAACTAAGTATGTTTGCATAAGACAACTACTATTCTGTGTTGTATTTGTAAAATGTAAACAACTATATTTGTTGTATTTCACATAACTGTTTATTTCTATTGTCTAACATTTATTAACAGTACAGGTTTGTGTAGTTGTCCTTTAAAGATTTAGAAGACTGTTTTAATACATTATAAAGCTGTTTAAAAGACTACTATATTTTAATTCACATTTATATTTAATAAATAAAATTTATTTCAATTCCAAAATATTGATCATGAAACAAAAATAAATTCTAAAATGTAGAATATATTGAATCTAAATACATACAATCCACGTCTAAATAACATCCAATAATTTAATATTTACATCCCTTGCTCTAGCAACATTTTCTTGTAAAGCATCCACTTTAGTCCTCAATCTGCATACAAATAAATAATTAAAATGAATGTTTGTTGATAACAAGAAAGAGTTCATAACAAAAATACTTGAAACTTTTTGGAGTTATTTACTAGCTAAATACCTCCAAAGTAGTTCATATGCATCTATTTAACAATTGAAGTTCATAATTTAGCTTAGAAATGAAGCAAAGCTGTAGATTTTTCTAAATAAAAAATAATTCAGTTTAGATTTTATTCAAAACCAAAACTTAAAATTCAAAAATCAATATATAAACACAATGTCATGCTTCAATTTGATGATAGTTTTCCAAACTAAGTTTATCTAGTAGGTGTTCTTAGTCTCGAGTCCCCTTTGTGGACATTTTGTAACTTACTATATAATACGGAGTATGTAGGTAATATATATGTCCATAACCAAGGCCCTAATTTCTCAAGGAAGTCATAAAACACTTTAAAAAATCCTTGTGCATGAACTACATCAATTAAAGCACCAAGACATTTACCTCGCCAAATGTTGATATGCTTCTCAGGAGACTGAATCCTAAAACTTCAATTTGGTGCACTTCCGAAAATTATCAACTCTAGCAAACTTTTTCCTTCTCAAATAAAGTGTCTCAACAACAGGCTGCAAGGACTCATCCATGAGAAGCACATTATAGTAGAATAAATAAAAGTAAGAATTTAATAATAAAAAATAAATAAATAAAACAAATATACGGAGGTTATGCGTAGGGTTAACGCAGCCGTCCGTTCTCTCCTTCTTCCCCCGACGGTAAGGAGCAATCCGGCGACCTCTCTCTTTGTCCCAGCTCTATTCAGCGAGTCCGGCGACCTTCGCTTTTAACTCAGCACCCAGCAGCGGCGAGGCAACCCAGCGGCGGAGTAGCAGCGCCGGTGAGCGCGAGATGGAACAAATGTTTCTTCTCTGGAAGAAGTTGCTGCTTGAAATCGGGCAATATCAAAAGAAGAAATCATGTTATTCTAGTAAAGAACTTGCCTTACAGCCGTAGGTGAACAGTAACCACGAGGGAGTTGACCTTCAATTCAGCCAGATCGAGCCCCAAATCTGCAAAGATAAACTCGGAAAAGGAATACTTTGCTAAAATCAATCCAAATCTCAAAAAATTACTTCAAAAACCCAAAAGCAACGATGAAGCAGCACTTTAGGATCGATTGTGAATAGTGTTACGTGAACCGCTGGCCAGCACTCTCGCGCATACAGAGAGAAACTCCCATCGTTAGCTGAAAACAATCCCTGGATAGGTTGCCACTCAGATGAAGGAGAGCATCGAGAGGGTCCGGTGATGAAGCTTCCTTGGTGGGTTTCTGAATGACGATGGGAAGGGGTGAAATTGGAGGCGGGACTATTAGGGTTACTTAATTTTGGCCAAATTTTCACTCAAAAAAATCTAGTCCCTCCAATTTTTCATATGTTATCTAAAATGAAACTAGAGGCGGGAGAAGGAGGGATACATATATTTTGGCCAAATTTTCAAAAATAATAAAATTGGTTCCTAAATTTTTGTTTAAATTCATAGGTATCATTTTAACAAACTGATCTAGTTTGAATTTTTTTCTATACATTTTTTCATTTCAAAATTTTAAACTAAGTTTTTTTTTTTAATTTTTAAAAATGATAGATTTCAATTCATTTCAACAAAAAATTATGTATTTCCTCAATTTTAGGTTAAATTATTAGATTTCATTTCAAACAAATTACTCAAAAGATTTAACATTAGATAATTTTTAAAAAAATATACGTTTTAATATATTCTCGTCTCAATTATAATTTTTTAAAATTAATTTTTTATACTCTTTGTCTCAATTTTTTAAAAAAGAAACTACATACTCTTCGACTTATTGTATTTCAGAAAGATAGAGACAAATAAGATTATACCAAATCAGAACACATCATCTTAGTTTAACATGTTTATATGTTGTTAAGATGATATATAATCAACAATTGAAAACTCGAGATTTTTTAATCTTTACTTTTTTGGCTGTTTCTTTATACCATAATAAAGCTCCACAACATTCACATTTGAAAGTGGGATCTCCAAAATCAATTATATTATATGGGAATAATAAAATATGATATAGATAATCTTTTGAAAGCGTGATGAAGTAGGTGTAAAATTTTTAATTTGAAATTGACCCAGAGTAATAATAATAATAATAATAATAATAATAATAATAATAATAATAATAATAATAATAATAATAATAATAATAATAATAATAATAATAATAATAATAATAATCCTGTTAGCATGCCAATTAGATTAGATCTAATCACATAAGATAAGATCAAATCAAATCCAATAAGATCTTATTACTTGTAGATTTCATGTGACCCACTGCATCTCAATTTAACATGTTTATATGTTAATTAGATGACATCTAATAAAATCAGATTTCATCATATCAGATTATACTAGATCAAATTAAAAGAGTTTTCAATATAACGTACTAATCGGACCTAATTAGATTAAATCAGACAACAACAGATCTAATCGTAATAATAATTCAAAGTCAAATCTAATAACATCATATCAAATCTTCAAAAATATCTATTTACTTGTATATGTTGTATCCTATTTGCCTGATCAAATCCTTAAATGCATCATATCGGATCTAAAGTAGATCCAATCAGACCAAAGTAGATCTAATCGAATCAAATCAAATTCAAATCTAGTAAGATTAGATCAAATATTAAAAAATTCAATTTAATTGTATATGTCGTGTCATATTTTCCTGATATAATTCTTAAATGCACTATATCGAATCTAAATAGATTGAATCAGACCGAAATAGATCCAATCAGATCAAATCAAATTCACATCTATTAAGATGAGACCTAATCTTTGAAAAAAATAATTTACTTGTGTTGGTTGTGTCTTATTTTTGTGATATAAACTTTAAATTCATTAGATTGGATCAAATTAGATCGAATCAGAAAAAACAAATCTAATCAGATTAAATCAAATTCAAATCCAATAAGATCATATCTAATTTTCAAAAAAATCAATTTACTTATGTAGGTTGTCTTTTATTTGTTTGTCTAATCTTTGAATGCATTAGATCAGATCTAATTAGATCGAATCAGACCAAAACAGATCTAATCGGTTTAAATCAAATTCAAATCTATAATAAGATCAGATTAAATCTTCATAAAAAAAACCTATTTACTTGTATAGGTTGTGTCCTATTTACTTGGTAAAATCTCTAAATGCATTAAATTAGATCGAATATAACTAAAATAGATATAATATAATCAAATTAAATTCAAATCCAAAAGATCAAATCAAATCTTCAGAAAAATCTATTTACTTGTGTAGGTTGTGTCCTGTTTGTCTGATCTAATCTTTGAATGTATCAAATCAGATCTAATTAGACCAAAATAGATTTAATCAGAACAAATCAAATTCAAATCCAATAAGATCATATCTAATATTCAAAAAATCAATTTATTTATGTAGGTTGTGTCTTATTTTCCTGATAGAATCTTTACATGTATGAGATCGGAATTTAGTTAATACTCCCTCCGTCCGGAAATATTCTTCCCACTTTCCTTTTTGGTCCGTTCGGAAATATTCTTCCCATTTCCTTTTTAGTATACTTTTTAAGGATAAATATCAATAATACCCTTATATTTTATCACAAATCTATTTTTTTATTACTTTATTAATAATAAAAGAATGATTTAAAAGTTTATATTATGTGCATTTTTGAAAATTTTGCATTTTTTTACTATTTCTTAATAAGCGAGCCAAGTCAATACGGGAAGAATATTTCCGGACGAAGGGAGCATTCTTAAAGTTTACCTCCAAATCTCTACAATTTTCATTTCCCTCTTTCTAAATTCATTTTCCCTCCTCTAAGTTTCATTCTCCCTCTTCCTGATTCTTGTTTTTCCTTTTTCCACCAAAAAAATTTGTTCTTACACCGCACCTTTATCCAACATCCACACTAATTAAATTCCTCCATGCATCCTTGATTCAGCTGAGATCTTCAAATGCTTCCTCCTTTACTTTTGGTGTTTTTTCTGCGATTCTTGGGATGCGCCTACAGCGACTTGTGATTGAGACCGCGATGAACAGTGCCGCGCAGGGAGTTTCTCGCCGTTTCTCCATCAAATTGAGGGCTTTGCTTCAGATTTTTGGAACTCGGGATGCGCCTACAGCGGGTGAATCCGTATTTGAGGTTATCTTGCTGTTTTTGGAAGTGGTTTTGGGCAAACCGAAGGTCAACACAGCGCAGTTACTGTTCATCTGTGAACTCATATGAAGATTTATGGTGTCTCAAGCTAAATTGAAGGATTTTCTTTGTGGATTCTGATTGAAATGGTCTTGTAATCTAAGGTATGAGCATGGATAACAATTCCATTCCAATAATTCTGAATTTTTTGGGTACTTGTTACTGTACACCATTCGTTATTTTGAGTCGGCTTTGCTCTTGTGTTGGACCACGTTTTGTGCAATGTTTTTGTTGAGGGTGATGTTACTATGAAGCTGAATTATGAGTTGTACCACCAGGCTATGCTCGAAATTCTAGCTGAATTACTGGACTTAGTTTTTGCATCTGTTTTGGTTCGTTTTGGGCTGTTATTTTGCTGTTTTGAATGGTGTGTAAACCTCGTACTGCTATGATTTTTGCTACTTGTGCTGGGTTGAATTGGGAATGGTGATGGCATGGTTTTGGGGATGTTTTGCTGGATTTCTTTGGCATGGACTCATGAACCTCCAACCTCCTGCCAAGCTTTTACAGCTGGTTTGTGGTAAGCTGGGTTCGGATGTTACCTGCTTGGAGGTTCTCAATATGGCTCCTACATGGTTTCTCCTTGCTAAGGGAGGCCTTTGTGCAGGTTTTGCAACAAAAACAGCTGGTTAGCACTGCTGTTTTGGTTGGGTGAACCTGATTTTGAACCAAAATTGAGTGGGAAGTTTAACTTCGAGCTGGGAAACTTGTGGGATGTATTATGGGCTGATTTGGTTCGTGGTGGCCTACCATTTGATGGAGCAGCTGTTTTGGTTCGTGGTGGTCTCCTATGTGCTGAAATGAACCTTGTTTTGGTTAGCCATAGCCTGGACAGTGGCATGATGGCAGGGGGAATTGAGTGGCTGCTTGGGCTGCCTTACCACTGCTTGTACCTCTTTTTGGGCTGTGAATGCAGTGTGCTGATTTTTGGGCTGTTTGGATGCTGAATTATGACTTATTGGGTTTGATTCCGCTGAAATGCAACTTGAACTTGAAGTGGCCTGGGCAGTATATGGGCTGACCTACTGCATTTTTAGGACTCTTTGAGAGTTTGCAAGCTGCCTTGTGGATGCCGTGGACAGGTTTGTGTTGCTTTGGGGCCTGCCATTTGATGTGGACATGTTTTTGAAATCATGGAACTATAGATTTACTATTTTGATTGGCCTGCCAAGTTGTGGTATTGTTGTATCGTTGTTGTATTCATTTCATGTATGGAACCATTTTTATGGTTCAGCATATAACATTGATGTACCATTCTGAGTAGGGCTAATAATACTTTACATTTTACCCTTGGGCGACTTGGGATGCTTAAAAAGATTCTGAAGTTGGATTTCCAGTATATGTAAGAATTCGTTCACAGACGAACTTCAAACTGCGATTTCCCAGGTTTCTTACTTTCTTTTTCTCCGACTCTCTAGTGCATTTTGGTCATGATTTAGGGTGCATTTCATCTCCTTAACTAAATTTGTAATCCATTAATGGGTGTTCTCTCCTTGAATTTTCTTGGTCCCGAGCACTGTCCATTTCTCCATTGCTACGGTTCTACTTGCCTTGAATAAGTTCCTGGCCTTGATTGGGGCTGGAAACTTTGGTTTTCCTTGCTGTCATTTTCGAGCAGACTCCTTTGGGGGCTGTGTGTACTATGGTTTGGAGTGGAAATCTCTATTATGTTTGGGGTGTTTGAACTACTATTGGGGTCTATTTGAGCTATGGTCTGTTAGTAATACATTACGGTTTCTCAAAACTCTAAAAATAGTTCTAGGCTTAATAGTCTAACTATTGTTTAAAAATGGTATTCTTAACTTACTATAGATAACCTATGGGGTAATAGATTACGGTTTCTATGAATTTCAAAAATAGTTCTACGCTATATGAATACATTATTGTTAAAAGGGGGTCTTCTATTCTTATAATAAACAATTCTGCAAAAAAAACCATATGAAACATACAACTAACAATACAATACTATTTCTTATAAGTTTAAAAACAATTATACACCGAGAAACCAGACTTCAGTTACTAAGTAGTAGTCTTAACTAATTATTGACAACTGTGGCAATAAAAACTGTATTTTTTATGAAACTGACTATTAATGATAGATGACAGTTTCTCACAGCTTCAAAAACAGTTCTACCCATAATAAATAGACTATCGTTGCTAAACAGTCTTCTATTGCAATTATAAACAACAGTGGTAGAAAAACCATATGAAACAAACAACAAACAACAGATAACTGTTTCTAAAAAGTTTAAAAATAGTTCTAGACTAAAAGCCGAGACTATTGTTTAAATAGAGTATTCTTAATTTGTTATTGACAACTGTTGTAAGAAAAACTGTATTTTGAACTAACACAGACAACTAATGATACATTATCGTTTCTTGAAACTTTAAAAATAGTTTTAAAGCATAAAACCTAGACTTTTGTTCGGTTTCCAAGAAAAACTTACAGTAGTCTGTTTTTTTCCAACTACTGTGTTTCCATTAACAGTAGTTAATCAACAGTTGTCTGATACTATTTTTGGCGTAGTGCTTATTTTGGTACTTTTCTCTATGTTTTAGTCCTATTTAGAATGATTTCTACAATTTAATTGCCTTCAGTGTTTAGCGTAATCGCATACTGTTGCCTAATTTAAATCAATCACCAATTTGCTAAACTTGACATCATATTGCTTTGGACTTGACCTAACAGATAAAGCATCAACTGATCAACCACAAATATCTTTTGAGATATGGTCGTGATATATACACCAGTACACCACCCATGTCTTCAGTTCTAAAATACTCCGTAATTGTTTTTATTTATAATGGAAATAAAATTGTGTACACTAAAGCTACAATATTGTTAGAGCACCACTGACGCCCACCGGCATTAAGCTGGTTTTGGTGGGGCATTAAACAATGTCGCTTTCTCGTTATCGCACCGTCATTTTTGCAGCCTCAAATTTTTACGCGAATTGCAAGCCAAAATTCTGCTGTTGGAACCCCCCACACCCCCTTGGAAAAAAATCTCTCCTCTATATATTCAATATAATCCAGTTTTTAAAAATTCAACACACTGACCCTACAAATACAAATCCCTCTCTCCTTTTTCTTAAAAAAATTATTCAAGTACGGAGTACTTATTTTTATTTTTAATATGAATCCCTTGTGTTTAACGTTCCTTCGTCCGGTCTCGAGCCAAACGAGGAAGCGATGTGAATTTTCCAATCATCTTATCCTATATATATATGTAAAAGAGAGTTTAGTTGTTGCAATGTTGACATGTGGCATGCCACATGTGCATCCACATGTGCACCCATTTATGAAGTGGATATATGCATTGCACCTATTTTAAATATCTTTTAATACATTTGTATAAAATTTTCCATTCCTTNATATTCTCTAATGATGTATCATTATGCATGTAACTGATCCACTTTTTATTATAATATTTTATTGATTCAAACCATTTCTATTTAGTACTTAATTCAATGATTATTAATTTTGTAAAATTGTTTTTTTAAATTAACATACCAATATACTCTGTATGTTCCATCAGTCTAAAACATTTTTTGTCACTATTAGAAACTAAAACAACTAAAATTATATTTATAAAATCTCAAAAGTTTAGAATATATACGAGCCCGTGCGAAGCACGGGGTAAACACTAGTATGTCGGTAATTCGTCGATGTATGATACGCAAACCTCGGCTATTTGCTATAGTTTTTTATTACTGTATTTTTTTATTAAATGTTCTTTTTTATTGAATGTAATTTTTTATTGAATATACTTTTTTTGATTTAATAAATTATTTTCATTTAAATTTAATGAAAATGAAGGTTTGGTTAATTTATTTTTAAAAAGATGTGCATTTAATTTAATTAAAATGATGCTTTATTTAATATCGATATATAAGACAGACTTATTAGGGGTTTCACTAATGGAGAGGAAAAAAGAAAGGAATAAGATGATGTGGGAGGGGAAATGAGAGAAAATTGATTAGGGAGAAAAACTAAAATAGCTCTCTTAGAATCTTAAAATATTCTAAATAGCAGCAATAGTGCTATATATTTCGTACATATGATTCCGATTTTGTCCTTTAATTAAACAACAAATAATCATTGCACACTGCCAAAAAATATAATTTTTGGGGAGTGTGGTTGTTCACTTGTAATTGTGTAGTGGACGATGTAATTTTTTATAAGTGAGTATTTAATGTGGCAGTGTAAAATATGTTGTTATATCTTACAGAAGTGTGTAATTGTATTAGTATTGTGTTCCTTAATTTCATGTTGGAGTGTAATGTCCATTGATTTATATAGCAATGTTTTCATGTATAAATTCTACACTGTCAAAAAGTATATGATTATTTTCATGTATGAATTCTACACTGCCCAAAAAATGTATAGCTCTTTTTATGTATGAATTCCACACTCCTGTCCAAAAACGTATGACTGATTTCATGAATAATCTATTACACCAAAACAAACTGGCCAAACATAGGCGTTAAATATGGAAGTTAATTTAACACGTACAAACTTGTTTAGGCATTCGTAAACTGCGTAGGAGGAGGAGCATGCAGAGCTATGGAAATAGTGTAGGATTATGTACTCGTACGTATGAGACACACGAATGAGGAGGAGTGGCTACGTGAATAACCTAAGTTTAATGAAATAATTAAAAGTAATTAAAAATAGTACAATATAATAAATGGCAGTGGGTATGTTTGGAAGATATTGATACTATAAATAGGTAAATTCGTATAAAAGATTAAAAAGTGCTATATGGGTAGTATTGAGAGAGTGCTACGTAGGGTGTTTTCTTAATTGGAATTAGCGAGATTAGTGGAATAGAAGAGAGAGAAGAATAGAGGAAAAAATTATTCTCATAGATGGATGATTAGAATATGATAGAAAAATTGAAAGATAAAATGACGTGAAAGTATATGATGTGGGAGGAGAATAGATCAGAGAAGAATGATTAATGATGCTCTTATTAAAACATGCACTTTCTTACTCCCCATCCTGAATTAATCGGATCATTTTATTTTTATTTTATTTTAAAATAATTGTCTTATGTCTTTACTTTCATAAAGATTTCGTCCGTCCCAAAATGTATGCAACAGTTACTATTTTGTCTCTCAATAACTTTTGTTTTGTTTGATCATTTGATAAAATTAAATATTCTTGTCGCATCTTATCTCGTAGAACTTTTGATCTAGTTTTAATTCCTACTTTTAAACGATGTAATTTTACTTTTTATTTCTCTACCAATTTGTAAATAAAATAATTTTAAAAAAGATATATTTTACACGTCGTTAGAAATGATGCTTATATTTTTAGACGGAGGGAGTAGAAAAAACAAGAGAAGAGACTCTCTATGGTTGCAACTTGCAAGTCTCACTCTTCTTCTGGTGAAGCGTCGCTTGTAGCTACTGTCCGAGAGAGAGAGGGGACCCGCCAGCCAAAGCCAACAACCACAAATAAGCCGCCTTAACATGCGCACATCCGGGGGCACTGGTGCATTTTAGCCTCCTTTCGCAAGCCCCAAAAAGCCGCACTTAATAATTTCTCTCCCCCTTCCTCCCTTTACTCTACTTGTCCTTTCTGTACCAAACCAAATCCCCGCTCTACGAATTTTCAACGTTTTTTCGTACGGTCGAATTTCAACGTTTAAATAGAAAAAAAGAATTCTTTTGTAGTTTATGGAATTGTGGGTTCAATTCTGATTTTGGAAGACAAATTCAATTCAACTATTAAATGCTTGCTCTATTTTGCTTCTCTCAAAGTTCTTTGATTTTTTTTTTTTTTTTTTTTTTTGAGTTTAGTGTTTGAACTTTGAAGTCATTAGAGTGCCACTGCAAAAACTGGGTAGGGAAAGAAACTTTGAAAAAAAAAGAGGGGAAAAAAATGCTTGAGCTTGGGAGACATTGCAGCAGTAGTAATGGTAGTATAAACACTACTAACAATAGTATGGTGAGAGAACTTCAGGTCTGCACTCTCTTCCTCTTTTACTTATTGCTTATAGCTTCCCCTTTCCCCTTCTCACCTTCTTTGAATGGACTTTTATCTGTTTCAAGTAAAAATTCCAGACACTGACATGTCTTGAACTGTGTTGTTTTCTTGTGCTCCATTTTTTCTTCCACTTATGATGTCAATTTTTATGTAAGTGTCAAGAAGAGAGTTTCTTGAGTTGGGTGTTCTTGGTTCATTTCCCACATGTTTCAGTTGTGGCTCTTTGGGATTTTACTTGTGGGAAATTATGTGTTTTGTTATGTAGTAATTGCACTAGATATGAATGGAATAGAAGTTAGTTGTATTCTGAAATAGTGGTGTGATTTCTATTAGAGCTTGGCCTCTTGTGTTTTATCTATTTTAGGAATATGATTGTGATACTCTAATGAGCAGCAACTGTGGGCCGACATCGGCGAGAGCGATGCAGAGAAAGAGCGAATGTTGGTGGAATTGGAAAGGGACTGTTTAAAAGTTTACCAAAGAAAGGTTGATGATTCGGCAAACACGAAAGCCCACCTTCTCCAATCCATTGCATCCAAAGAAGCCGAGCTTGCAACGCTAATGGCTGCTCTTGGTGAACATAAAATTACCTCACCGGTATCGTTCTTCCCCCTCAATGTTTGGGCTTTTTTTGAAATCCATTTTTACATATTTAAGGTCTTAAGGGTATGTTTGGATCTTAAAAAATGCTATGAAAATGAAAAAAAACATTCTCAAGGGAAGTTATTATATTGTTCTTGGTTCTACCATGGGAATGTTTTTCTCTTATTTTTAGGTCTTTGGATTTTGGCTTTCATCTTGTTAGTTATTATCAAAGTTATGTTGTTTTTTATAACAAGTGCAGTTGAAGAAGAAGGCAATGCCGTTGAAGGAGCAACTCGCATCAATTACACCATTAGTTGAGGATCTAAAACTTGAAAAAGAAGAAAGGCTGAAGCAGTTTACAGACGTAACGACCCAAATTGAGAAGATAACTGCTGAGATTTCAGGGTATGGGGAAGTTATCAATGCAATGAGTTCCTTAAATCTGGAAGAAAATGACTTGTCACTGAGAAAGTTCACAGAGTACCAAACTCGTCTCCGGGCCCTGCAAAATGAGAAGGTATGATTTAAGTTTCTATAGCTATTCATTTAATGAAAATTTCCATATTTGGCAGTCTAGTTGTACATGATTTAGGCCTTGTTTTGCAATCAACTTTCAGCAACTAGCTTTTGTGGCAGGTATTTGGGTAGCTTTTCCAAAAAAAAACAAGTTTATCTAAACTTAACTTGGATGGTAGCTGCTTAAAAAATCTCTAAACAGCTTCAAAATGCTTGGAAAGAACAATTTGTTTTGTAAACCAACTTTCCAGGGTCAAAAATCTCTTTACCAAACACTTCCAATCGTTGTCCTTTAGCCAAATTTTGTTTTTCTTACACAAAATCTCCTCACCAAACACCCCTTTAATTCGTTCTTTTTTGGCATACTATTTTGAAGGTTTGATTTGTCTAGTCTACCGAAGTTAAAACCTGCCACCTATTCTGTCTACCAGGTCACTTTGTTAAGAAAATATGTCACTAACATCGGGAAACATTGACTCAAATAAAATGACTTTCTTCCTGAAATTCGTTACAGGGTATCAGATTTTCCATTGAACACATTTGACATTAAGCTATTGTTTGATTATGCACATGCCATTGAAGACCTAATTCCACAGGTAAAATAAAAGTGTAATGTTTTGACCATTTATACCTCCTGCAGTCTGAGCGTGTCCGAAGAATTCTAGAGTATGTAAATGAGGTTCATTCCTTGTGTGCTGTTCTTGGGGTGGACTTTGGCAAAACTGTCAGTGATGTCCATCCAAGTTTGCGTGAAACCGCCAGACTTGGACAGTCTATGAATATCAGTGATAGCACATTGCAGGGCTTAGATCAGGCCATCCTCGAGCTAAGAACAGAAAGAAAACTTCGTTTCCAGAAGGTACTGTTTTTTCCCCTACTATGATGCATTTCCTATTTTTTATTTTCTTTTTTTTTTCGGATTGATAATCTTTATCACTGATGCAGCTCAAAGATGTTGTTGCATCACTATTTGAACTCTGGGACTTGATGGGTTCGTCGAAAGAAGAGAAGTATAACTTTTCAAGGGTCACTTTCATCATGGGCTTTCCTGAAGCAGAGATTTTGGAGCCAGGTGCCCTTTCGTTGGAGATCATTCAACAGGTTTGCCAGAATGCCTTTCTTCCAACCATATTTATGACCAAACCTGAGAATGACAACACAGTTGTGGAACCGAAAATGATGTTTTTTTTACTCATAAAATAAACTACAAATGTTTTGGGTTTGGTATAAGAGTGTTAAGGGGCTGATTTGCCTTGTTGTGCACTAATAGGCATCATCAGAAGTTGAGAGGCTGACGAAATTAAAAGCAAGCAGAATGAAGGAATTGGTTATGAAGAGGAGGTCAGAACTGGAAGACATATGCTATAAAACCCATATTGACCCTGATCCCACTGCTGCTGATAAGTCGTCTGCAATGATCGACTCTGGTTAGAGGCCGTAGCCATTCTGTTGCTCATAAGAATCCCGAAAAGCGGTCAAACAGCTCCTTTTTGACTTTTATGTATGCAGGTCTGGTTGATCCTTGTGTGCTATTAACAAACATTGAAGCACAAATAAGTATGGCGAAAGATGAATCTCTGAGCAGAAGAGAGATTATAAATAGGATTGAGCGATGGCTTTCTGCTTGTGAGGAGGAAACCTGGCTTGAAGATTTCAACCTAGTAAGAAGCCCCACATATAAAATGCATTCCCCATTTACACTGAAATTATAACAATCACAATAATAAAATTATGATTTTACGCATTGTTGCATTTACTACCCAAAATTTCATAGATTACAGAAGCAAAGGTGAATGTGTCATTTTGATTTAGTCCATTGCGACAATTGACAAGTAAATTTAGGTAGTGTTTGGCAACTAAGATTTCATTTCAATTCATGTATTTCAATTTCAAAATTTGAAATCTTGAATTTCAAATGACAAGGGGAGACGCATGGATTTAAAATGAGAAGAATTTGATTCAAATCCAAATTCAAAATTTAAAATTTTCCCAAACATTGAATTAAATCCAAATCCATGTTCCCAAACATACCATTACAGAATATGATGTGCTTACTTGTGTATAATATTTCCAATGAACGTTTTAATAGCAATCTTTGATTGCAGAATAAAAATCATTATGGTGGTGGAAGAGGTGCTCACATAAACCTAAAACGAGCCGAACGTGCTCGGGTTCTAGTAAGTAAGATTCCAGGTAATCTACCCTGGCAATATCTATTTTACTTGTTACTATTATTTTTTATCTGCCTCATCAGGTGGATCTTATATTCAGGAATGATTGAGAACCTGATCACCAGGACGCTAGCTTGGGAAAACAAGAAGAATAAGTTGTTTTTTATGATGGGGTGGGTTAAAAGCTGCTTGATAATCTCTTTGCATTTACCGCTGTCCAAACACGCTCTGTATTCATTGTATACTCTGCAGGCACGGTTGGTGTCAATATTGGAGGAATACAAAGTGACCCGACAACTCAAAGAGGAGGAAAAGAGGCGCGCCCGGGTACTCTATTTATAGCTGTGCTAGGGTCACGCCGGGTTTGACACCAAGTGTTTCAACATATACACAGACATTCATTATCTCTGAGGCACAGAGAGACATTGTCTATGCATGTATGCGAAACACTCGGTGTCAAACATGTTTAGTTTCTAGCTTTTTTTATCATATAAAAAGATTTGCGTTCGTATATAAAATGTTCTGGAAGTTTCATTTTCCTATTGTTATTTTTATTATTATTATTTTATTAGATCTCCACACTGTTTTACAGGACCAAAGAAAAGTGCAGAATATGGTCCTTGCTGAAAAGGAAGCAATCTATGGCTCCAAACTGTGAAGTCCTTAATATTCGGTCCTTATTTTTTTAGTGTATGGGTTGGCATTATTTTTGACAACACACAACCACGAGTTGATAGTAGTATAGTGTCCTTTTGGTAGTAGAATTGTATTGTTGGTCATCCTGCATGGCAACTTGGACGAGGACTCCATGCTGGAAGATTATCTGCTCAACGAAGGATTCCTGGTCAAAGACTTCTCTCTGGACTCAACGTATGCACAAGAATTCTACAGCCTACAGGTTAGGGTTTTATCGGATGCTAGTCCAGAGATATAAATAGGAGATTAACGCTTGGCAGAGGTGTGCGAAAGAGAGATATATTCGGCTAATCAAGAGAGAACATACAGAGAGTTAATCTGCTATAAAGAAAAGCATATCATATACACATATGTGAGATTACAGCAAGAAGATCAGTCATGGATCTTCTCTGAAGGCTTGCTCAGCTTGTGTATCGTGTGAGGCTGAGCAAAGGTCAAGAACACATCCTTATGGCAGAGCAACGAGAAGGTGTAATAGGCCTGGTCTGACACAAACAGAGTTTGGTGTCTGATCACGTAAGTAGACGAATCTGTTCAATAGAAGGGTCTGTTGATTTTGATTGTGTAATTCTTACGATGATCTAGTGGAAAGGCTATTACACGGATGTGGGCCTCGCAGACGTAGGAGAGTTGGCTCCGAACTGCGCAAACAAATTTCTGTGTCTTTGCTTGCTTTCATTTTTGTTTTGGTGTGGTGTTAGAAAAGGTGTTGTAGCATTCTGTGAAACTTTGGTGTTGCGCTACAGCACAATTTCTAACCACTTTCTGCTGTGTTAAGTGTGTGTGTTTTTGGTTTATATACTGTGCTGTTGGTGTGGAAATTTCATTTGGTATCAGAGCCTGCATAGCTTAATTTACTAGCTATCGATCATATCATGGGAGACATGGAAGAAGGAGCAAATGTTCAGAGACCACCGTTACTGCGTGGGCACAACTACAATATCTGGAAAGGAAGGATGAGGGCCTTTCTCAAATCCCTTGGTGGTGGAGTCTGGAGAAGCGTAGAAACTGGGTGGACTGAACCGCGCAAATACTCTGATGATCTTACGACGTCAAGAATTAAACCATTTGAAGAATACAGCAGAGCTGAAGTAACCGCTGCTGAGTTTAATGACAAAGCCCTAAATGCAATCTTTGGGGCAGTGGACTCTACCTAGTACAAGCTCATCTCAAACTGTGACAATGCCAAGGAAGCTTGGGATATTCTTGAAGTCACGCATGAGGGAGATGAGGAAGTGAAGACAGCAAAATATCAGATCTTGATGACTCAATATGAAAATCTGCGCATGGACGAGAAGGAAAAGATCACTGAATTTCATGGGAGAGTTAGAGATATTGCAAACCAGGCTGCACGACTAAATGAACCTATTCCAGAAAACAAGCTGGTTCTCAAGGTGCTGAGGTCACTTCCAAAAGAATATGAGATGGACGTCAAGGCCATTCGACGTTCCCACAACATCAAAAACATGACGCTTGACGCACTTATGGGAATACTGGAATCAATTGAACTGGACATGGCAGAAGACAGTAAGCAAAGGAAACCTGATATGCAGATAGCATTTCCCAGCACTAAGGAGGAAGATGACGGAGAACTTGATTGGTCACTTGATGAAGAGTTCCAAGAGCAACTATCACTGTTCACCCGGCAATTCAAGAAGCAGTGGATTCAGAAGAAGTCAAATCAAAGATTTGAAGGCAGCTCTAAGGGGCTTCCATCAAGAGATGCTAAGTACAGAGAAGCCAAAAACACAAAAAATCCTAACTATGCAAAGAAGAAGGGGCCACAGTGTTTTGAGTGTGGTGGATATGGTCATATCCAGTCTGAGTGTGCAAACAATCTAAAGAAGAAGAGACAAGCTTTCAAGGAAACATGGAGTGATGATGAAACTGAAGATCAGAGTGATTATGAAGAATCTAACTGTGCATTCATTGCAAGTGCTGACCTAGATGACGAAGTGAGTGTTGAAGAACAACTTGAGGACTTGCAAGAAAAATGGTTAGAACTCCTGATGGTAAATAAAAGGAATGTCACAGACAAAAACAGACTGATTTCAGAAGTTGATGCCTTGAAGAAGAGAATTGAAGAGCTCACCAGAAAAATTGAAGAACTTGAAGGAGAAAAATCCAACCTGTCATTTGAGATAAACAAACTAAAGTCCTATCAAAAATGGATCAAGGTTGCTGGAGCAGAGGTACTGGATCATCACTCGATCATGGCTAAACCTCCAGGAGACATGGCATGTATCGGATACACAGATAAAGGGAAGATGCCACAATCACTTGAAGTCAAGTTTGTTAAAGCCTCCGAAGTAACTGCATCTACCAGCACACATCATTCCAAAAGGGAACATCAAACGCCCTTATACAGGAATCCCTACTACCGTTACAGATGTTTTAACTACAATAAGTGGGGACATATACAACGTCAGTGTGTCACAAGATGGAGCAAGCCGTGGACATCTAAACATTACAAACAAATCTGGATACCAAAACAGTATGCTTCTGTGGCCAACACTTGCTACAGGGTCACACCAGATCAATGGCTTCTTGACAGTGGATGTTCGCATCATATGACTGGTGACAGAGAAAATCTCATAAACGTCAAGACACTTGAACAAGGAAGCGTTCGCTTTGGTGGTGGAGCACATGGAAAAATAGTTGGTAGTGGCACGCTCAACGTATCAGGACTACCACCTATCAAAAACGTATGGTTAGTCCAAGGCTTACAGGTGAACCTGCTCAGCATAAGCCAAATATGTGACCAAGGGCTTGAAGTATTCTTTACACAGCAAAAATGCAGAGTGAGAGACCGAAGTAAACAAGTGGTGCTTGAAGGTGATAGAACAGCTGACAACTGCTATAAAGTAACCCCAAATATTCTTTGTTTCTCAGCAAGTGGAAAAGATGCAAGGTTATGGCACTATCGCCTGGGGCATCTGAACTACAAAGATCTTGTAACTCTGTCAAATTCAGGAGCTGTGAGGGGATTACCAAAAATCATCAATAAAGAGGCAGAGATATGTGGTCCTTGTCAAAAGGGAAAACAGATACGCAAGACTCATCCAGTCAAGGTGTAAATGCAAGCGCCTCAATAAGGACCTCGGCATTATCATCCTGTCAAAAAGAGGTAACTCAAGATCCCCAAATCTCTTCACAAATTCAAGCTCGAACAGATCTGAAAGAGACGAAAATGGTGAGAATTAAGCATGTACTTCCCAAGCGCTGTTAAGGAAAACCCTCACTCAAAAGGAAACTCTGGGCAAAGAACAAATGGACGCGTCTACTAGTTGCAGAAGGATCACAACAAACCAGTGTTGATCTTGAACCAGAGGTGGCAGAAGAAGACGAAGAGAATCTCCCACAACCAAATCCAGGAGAATCAAACATGGAGCAACCAGATTCAAGATCAGTAGACGATGAAGTCAGAAATGTCATAGAAGATGATGTGATTCTAAACCCTATAGCCACATTCCCAAAAATATTTCTTCTAGAATTTACAGGTACTCCACAAAAAGTGGACATGCAAAGCAAGAAGAAGGAAGATCTGCAATCAGAAAAGGGAATGCCAGAGATCGTGAACGAGGAACCTTTGATAGCATGTTCTGATGTGCCATTTGAAGGAGTAAAATTCAAAACCCCAGCATCCAAGAAACCAAAGGCGAAACAAACTGGATCCAGATGGTCGCTGCGTCAAAAGGCGAAGGAGAATCAAGAATCAGAAGGGTTTGAAGAAATTCAAACAAAAGAAGTGCCAAAGAAGGATCTTAAGCGCAAGGAGAAAGCAACGGATGACCAGGAGGAGAGCTCAAAGAAGCAGAAAACATCATCTCCTTCAGCAAAACTGACAACCAGAAGTCAGATCAACCAGAGGAAAGATACAAAAGCAGGAAAGTCACCTAAACCAGGGAAGTTTTCTAAACATCTATTTGTTTCATCAAGTGCTAGTTCATACATGTCTGAAATTGTCAAGAAAACCATTCTGCCACAAAGAAGTATTGATGTTGAGGATTTTGAAGCAAAAACAAACTTAATCCCTGTGCTGAAAAAGTGTAATTTGCTTAAATCAATCACTCTGCCTGGTTCTTATGTGAGAAAAGTCATACAAGAGTTTTACTGCAATTTGTCTGAGGGTTGCAACATTCACACTGATCCTTCATACCACAAAGTGTTTGTGAGAGGGAAAACCTTCGATCTGTCCCCTACCAAAATAATCAGTTTCTGAACATAAAACCCCCCTCCTCTGAAATCAATGTGAATGAAAGATAAGTCTGGACTGACCTCACAAATGGTGAGCGTATCTCTCAATCCACCAAGTCAAAAGTGCCCTCTTCTATCCTCAAAAGTTCCTATGCCATACTGTTCAGGGTTGCTGCATATCACTGGCTCCCAACCACCCATATGAACAGAGTTCCACTCTGCATAGCCACACTCATTTACAAAATCAAGCATGAGATACCTGTGAATCTTGGGAAAATCATCTTTGACCAGATCATGAGCTTTGCATCTGAGAGGGCCAAACAGAACTCTAATGGGCTTCCTTATCCTCTTCTTATTTATCAATTGCTTAAATCTCAGAAACTTGTAGTTGCAGATGAAGAAGAACCTGCTCTTCCTCTTCTCCAAGTAGATTTAAGGCACTTTGAACGAAGACACTATAATGACATGGCAGCAAGGGAGGAACAGAAGTCAGCCCCAGCAGTTCTTCAGTCAGATTTTTCCAAAACAGCTTTCATCAAAGGAGAAATTCAGCTGCTGCAAGAGAAGATTGAAGAATACAAAAAGCTGATCAAAGAAGCTGAAATAAAAAAGAAAAAATGGGCCATTATTTTGTCATCTATGGACACCACTACAAATGAAGCTGCTAAATCTCAGGGGGAGAAGTCCAAACAAGATGGATCAGATGATGCTACAACACATGGGGAGCAAAGTGAAGATGATGAAGCCACTGTGGAAGAAGGGGGAAGCTCAGATACAGAGAATGAAAACCTAGAAAACGAGGAGTCAGATTTTGAGGCTGAACTTCACAAGTTTGATGATTAAACACTTCATTTGTTTTGGGAAAACTCTACTGTTTTTTGGCTACTCAATATTTTGATGGGATTGTTCTGTCCCTTATGTTTTGGCATGAATTCATCAACTCGTATTTTTGCTGCTACTATGTGTGTTATGCTATGAGTATGTTATGCTGAGGATTGCTGCTATTCAATTTTTGATGGAATTGTTCTGTCCCTTGTTACTGCACATGGTCTCTTGGTTTTCACTCAGGTTTTTTGCACAGGTAGGATGACCATTTTAAGGTGTCTAAGTTGCACTCATGTATACACTCTTGCATCCAGTTGTCTAAATATTACTCTTCTCCAGTTTCTTGAATAATATACTTTTGCCTTTGGCATATTTTTTCCAAAAGGGGGAGAAGAGGTTTAGACCTGGCTGAGTGTCAAGTGATTGTGTTTGTCAAAAATAGCCAAAGGGGGAGATTGTTAGGTCCTTAATATTCGGTCCTTATTTTTTTAGTGTATGGGTTGGCATTATTTTTGACAACACACAACCACGAGTTGATAGTAGTATAGTGTCCTTTTGGTAGTAGAATTGTATTGTTGGTCATCCTGCATGGCAACCTGGACGAGGACTCCATGCTGGAAGATTATCTGCTCAACGAAGGATTCCTGGTCAAAGACTTCTCTCTGGACTCAACGTATGCACAAGAATTCTACAGCCTACAGGTTAGGGTTTTATCGGATGCCAGTCCAGAGATATAAATAGGAGATTAACGCTTGGCAGAGGTGTGCGAAAGAGAGATATATTCGGCTAATCAAGAGAGAACATACAGAGAGTTAATCTGCTATAAAGAAAAGCATATCATATACACATATGTGAGATTACAGCAAGAAGATCAGTCATGGATCTTCTCTGAAGGCTTGCTCAGCTTGTGTATCGTGTGAGGCTGAGCAAAGGTCAAGAACACATCCTTATGNCTTATGGCAGAGCAACGAGAAGGTGTAATAGGCCTGGTCTGACACAAACAGAGTTTGGTGTCTGATCACGTAAGTAGACGAATCTGTTCAATAGAAGGGTCTGTTGATTTTGATTGTGTAATTCTTACGATGATCTAGTGGAAAGGCTATTACACGGATGTGGGCCTCGCAGACGTAGGAGAGTTGGCTCCGAACTGCGCAAACAAATTTCTGTGTCTTTGCTTGCTTTCGTTTTTGTTTTGGTGTGGTGTTAGAAAAGGTGTTGTAGCATTCTGTGAAACTTTGGTGTTGCGCTACAGCACAATTTCTAACCACTTTCTGCTGTGTTAAGTGTGTGTGTTTTTGGTTTATATACTGTGCTGTTGGTGTGGAAATTTCACAAACCAAGCCCAAGAAGAAGCACCAGCAGCCTTAAGAACATCAATGGATCGTTAACCCCCTCACCGCGCAGGAAATCTGTTGGTGCGCTAAATCCCAAACTTATTTCACCGCAGCATTATCATCAACACAATGGGTATTTCAACAATGGAACAAAAAGGCTTTCGACTGCCCCTCTGAATTTTGTGGCTATTGCTAAAGAGGACACCATGTCCTTTTCTTCGGCTTTTGGCTCTGAACCGGAGTCTTCACCTCAAGCCTAAATATGGAGTCTAAAGAGCCTTGTTGCAGGATGGTGCCCAGTTAGTTTTTTTTTCTACATACAGCTTTATAGGCCATATTTTCAGGAGGGGCTGAAAAATGTGAATATATGGAGGGTGTACTCTATATAGCAATATGCAAGCAGTTGCAAGCAATTATGATTTTTTTGATACATTGGAAAAGTAAATGAATATAGACATACGTTATGTCTATATTCATTCATTTTTCAATATGAAAGTCGTAATGGTCGGGTAAAAATGAATGGAGAGGGTACTTCCTATGTATTGTGTTAGGTAAAGCTAAGGTATAAGATTGATAGGAGATTGCTGGTGGTATGTGTACTGATAGGAGTTTGGCGTGCTGATTTGTGTTTCTGCTAAATAATATGGTGTTGCTGCTTCAAATGGATTTAGATGGTCCCGTGGCTTTGTTAGAGTTGAATGGGCTTTTAGTTGTCTGGAAATGTTAGGTAACAATGGTTAGTTTGAAGTTGATGCTTTTGTAATTTCTTGACAAATAATTGGAGTAATCATTTCAGTGTTGCTCCTGCTGTCTTCCATGAAGGGACGACCAGACACTCCTACTTTTTTGGGTAAAAATAATAATACTAATAATAATAGTAGTAGTAGTAGTAGTAATAATAATAGTAATAATAATAATAATAATAATAATAATAATAATAATAATAATAATAATAATAATAATAATAATAATAATAATAATAATAATAATAATAATAATAATAATAATAATAATAATAATAATAATAATAATAATAATGTAATGAGAGTAGTACGATTTTTTTAAGTTATTATTGGAAGAAACTAGGAGTTAGAAAAAATTTGAAGAAGCTGGACTAAATTAAAAGGAGTTGGAAAAATTGAAAAAAGATGGAAAATATTGAAAGTTAGGTTTTTCAACTCCAAAGAACAGACCCTTAGTGGATCTAGCAAATACTCCATTCTACACCAACGGTTCAATATCTCTTTCTAGATAGATTGAAAAATAAATGAATGTAGACTTATTTTGTATCTATATACATTCATTTTTCAATGTATCTAAAAAGTCATAATGAATAGTTAATATGAAATAGAGGGAGTATATTTGAGGATAATGATTGTCTTTCCCATTCAATGTGCCCAAACTAAAACTTATCATTAATCTAAAGCAAAATTACATTTACAACAATTAATTGTCATTACGAAATAATGCTAACAAGGAAAGATTAATCACTTAGCGTTGCAACACTTTAATACCTAAAGCTGTCCCACAACTCATTTATCCTTTGATTGTTTATAAAAAAACTCACATCAAGGATGCAAAACTTGAAAACATGAATGTCAAGGGTGCTATGGATCGAGTCACCCTCATATTTGAAAATAGTATCTTTCAAGTTTTGCATCCTTTGAATTGGAGTCATCTGCCTACAACATAGGTCCTTGGTGTATATTTCTTTTACGTATACGTTTCCCTTTCAAGCATTGTAGCCACTAGTCGCTCCCTATATGCTGACATTTCTTGACGGCTGAGGCAACGTACGAACAAAATCTAACCGGTTCATGTTTTCTATTTCCAACTAGTCTTTGTTCTGTGACCTTACGTTTAGTGTGTTAAGGAGGTTTGCTAGGGGTAGTGTAGAACTCTAGAAAATAACTTATCGAGTTTTTATTATGCATAATGTCAAGTATATATACAAGTAAATACGCCTTAAGCCCAATTTATTGCCCAAACATAAACTATGGAAGCCCAAACATAAACTATGAGCCTAAATACAATTAATTACATAAAATAACAAATACTTCAATAATACTCTCCCTCAAGTTGGCGCATTAATATCATAAATTCCTAACTTGGTGAGTAGAAAACAAAATAAGGAAGTGGGCACCTCCTTAGTGAACATATTAGTAATCTGAAGCTTGGTGGGAATATATGCAGTATATCTACATGTTGCCTTTGAACACATTCGCGAACAATGTAACAATCAATGTTAATATGCTTTGACCTTTCATGAAAAATAGGATTCACAGTAATGAAGAGAGCAGACTTACTATCACAATATAGCCTCGGCGTTGCAACACAAAATAAATAGAGGCGCTAGAAGACCACAAATCCACCATATCTCTTAGATGCATTTGTCATAACACGATACTCTACCTTAGCAGATAAATGAGAAATACTGGTTTGCTTCTTACTACTCCACGAGATCGGTGAACCACCTAAGAAAATGAAATAACTTGTGACAGATCGACAGGTTAACAGACAACTAGCCACATCAGATTCTGAATAAGCTGTGAGAGCCAAATTGCTAGCACTACGTAATAAAATTCCCTGGACAAATTGACCCTTAGCTTCAGACAACGAACCACATGCATGGCCCTATTGAGATGATCAAGACGCGGAGCATGCATAAACAGAGACAGAACATGAATAACAAAACAAATGTCAAGACGAGTAATAGTAAGATACACCAAACGATCAACCAGCCTACCATACTTTGTAGGATCATGTATCTAAGCACTGTTACAAGAAGCAAAAGTATGCCAGGGCTGAATGCGAGTAGGGGCATGCTTGCACCCAGACAAACCAGCTTCCTGAATAATATCAAGAACATACTTCCTTTGATTAAGAACCATGCCTTCTATACATCTAGCACATTTAATCCCAAGAAAATAGGACATGAGACCAAGATCCTTCAAGTGAAAGTATTCATTCAGATACTTTTTAGAGTTCATGGAGGGATTATTACCTGCCACTAGAATGTCATCATGACTCATCAACATAAACCAACACAACCAAAATATCGGGCCCATGGAACCACATGAATAAGGTATGGTCAGCATGCGCTTGACGAAACCCATAATTCCTCAACGCACAATGTAACTTAGTAATTTACGGGGAGACTAACGTAAACCATATAATGACTTGCGTAACCGACAAAGCTTCTTAGGGTATGCTATAGTATAATTGGGAGGGAGCTTCATGTACACCTCCTCTTTGAGATTCCCATGATAAATGGCCTTATGAACGTCTAACTGATGAATCTCCCATGATCGGGGAACATCAACAGATAAAAGAACACGGATCGTGGTTAATTTAGCCATGGGTGCAAAAGTACATTTGTAGTCAGACTCTTGATGATTCCCCTAGACAACCAACTTGGCTCTATCCCATTCTTTAATACCATCAAAATGAAATTTATTGCGATACACCCATTGAAATCCTAGTTCACGATGCACGAGGGAAGATCAATGATGTCCCTTATATGATTACGCTCCAAAGCCAGTAATTCTTGAGCCCTAGCCCCACGCCAGAATGCAATTTGAACAGCCTCACAAAAATTTTTGGACTCAGTATTTGCTGCCATTGCTCACAAAAAACCCTTGTTGGAATAAGTGTCCTTCACTAGAGGGGGAGTGGGGTGAATAGTGAGACAAGAATCTTGATAAATTTTTGCAGAATAAAAAATATAGGGATAAGGTAAAGAGAGGAATTTAAAAACGTAAAGAAAGAACACATCAATGTACATTGGTTCACAACCACTTGTGGCTACATCCAGTCTTCCAAGAGACTCTCTCAAGCTACACTACTTCCATTAAGCTTACGTGTTCTTAAAAAACTGTTTAAAACACTTATTGTAACGCCCCAAAATATACCCTAGAATTATTAATGAGAAATTAATTAATTAATCCAATTGTTTTGATTAAAATAAATTGTTGTTGGGCTTTGGGCCGAAATAAAATGTGTTTTGATATCCAATATCACAATCAGGATAAATCTCATAGAGATAAATCCAATTAGTGGACTATTTGTGTGATCTTGATTGGAAACCTGAGTACAGACCCAAATTAAGAATAAATGAAGAAACTGTTTATAATGTGAACTTTGAAATGATTTATTGAAATAAATTATGGAAATAAATAATATGTATTTAATATGAGCACCTTTTTGAGTAAAGGTCAAACAAATCAATTTTGACTCTGCCAAAGTCAACCACCCAAAAATATGATATCAGAAAAAGTATAACGAATAAATATAAAAATTATATTGTTGGATAGAACTTGACTGTCTGATCGCAACGTTGCAAACAGAATTCAATTTGGATAAAGTTGGACAAAAAAGTGTTCCCCGAGTGGGACCGAAATTAGTCCCAATCAGGGACTTGCGTTTGAAATGGGAAGGAATCGCCGTCTGCTCCACTAGCCACTCAAACAGAGAAGGTGACGCAGGAACCATTGGCCTTTTCCCCATTCTTCTCCTATATAATGGAACCCAACCATTCTCATTTCTCCACCAAATTGCATAAACTAAATGACATTAGAATCCTGAGAGTGAGGAGAGTGGTCTGGTGTTGTCAATTTAATGTGAAATCGCCGGAGCAAGCCGTGGTGTTCGCCGGAAGTCCCACCGTTTTTCCACCGGAATCATCGTTTCACTTCGAGGTAAGCCCGTTGATATATCTAATGACTAGAATGTTCGTATAGATTGTTCCTACGTTCATAAATGGTCGTTTGACATGCTTGAAGAACCAAGAATCATAAACCATTAAATTGATGTTAAAACTATGAATTAATGATTCCAAAATGATCTATGAACCTTGGAGAACATCCCTATATAGTTTCGTTGAAGTTCGGTAACTAAAAACAGTATTTTCGAAATTGGTGTCGCGAGGTAGAAGACGGTGAACAGTACCTGAAACACACTGTCTGGATCGACCCTAAGGCTTGGATCGATCCTCTGGGAGTTAATTTTCACATCATGGATCGATCCAAATGGCTGGATCGATCCCCCGAAGTCCTGATCCGAAAATTTGTTTGAAAATGCTATTTTTGAGTTCAAAAATCCTATTTTTGATACCAATTGATTATGATCATTATAAAAATGATTTACCAGAATAAAAATGATGTTTTTAACAAATAAAATGTTATGTGATGCATGATGGTAAGTTCGGGTGTTAACACTCGAAGCTAGGCCGCTATTTGCTATCGAATGTTATGTTGATTGATGATTATGATGATGATTATTCTGATGATTATGGCTTGAGGAAACCACTGATTAAAATGATTTTCAAGGATTAAATTATGAATTGAAATGAATATGTTGATGATTATGAAATGATTTTGATTGTAAGGATATCTAGAAGAACTCTAAGATATACCTAGGTTGACTTTGCTTTCTAAGACTATCTAGAAGACCTCTAAGATAGCTTAGAAATAGGCCTTGCGGGTATAATCATGAGTATTCGGTGGCCTGGGTTAAAACGTACGTACGGGATCTACAAACCAAACTCGAGGAACTCGTTTGGGGATACCACCCAAACCGACAGTTAGTATTCTACTGCTCGGTTTCTAGATTTGTACCTTAAGCAAAGGCTAGTTTAAGAGTTGGTAAATAAATCGGAATATGTACCTTAAACTAATGACCTAGCTTAAGAGTTGGTTAGAAGTACCTTGAACTAGTAATAGTTTAAGAGTTGGTAAATATCAAATAGATTGGCCTTAGACTAGAATAGTTTAAGGATATTGTTGAATGACAAATGATGAATATTACATGATTAATGTTGAATATTAATGATGAATACACATGTTGAATGATTCAATAATGAATGTTGAAAATTGAAAATTGATTATTGAATATCTGAACTGAACATTATGTGCATGATATCAAATGATTTGATTATGAATTGAGATACAATTTATATGGATGTTCGACGCATTAGATATGCTTACTCAGCTTTACCGCTGAGCGTGTAGTATGTTTTATTTGCTACACGCATTTGTTTAGCTTCCGCAATATTGAAAACTCTATACTGTTTATGATATGAAAAATATTATTATGATAAATAAAAGTGTTTGAAAAGTTTTAAATTTTACGGTTACCAAGTTAATACTTTAGTCCGAAAGGGGCTGCAGACCTGGACGGATTAGGGTGTTACAATTTGGTATCAGAGCAAATGATTTTAAAACTGATCTACGTATCAAAAATTTAATTTTTTTTTGAGTCAATCACATCCACGAATCTGGCGTCCCTCTGCTCCAGGAAAGGTATGAGAAATTACTTGGTAAATATTTACTCTGTTAGAATTCTCATTGAATAACAAGTGATTAGTACTGAAATCGTATCGAGCTTAGACTCTAGTAGAACTTTCGTACTTAGTAAAGAGACGCAAGAATAAATGAAAAATATATGACCCTGTGATCCGTTATTAATGTACGCATCGCATCGCGAAGGACGGAACTGATCTGCATAGCAAAATCGTACGAAAGTGAGACGACTTTGAAGAAACGATAATAGTTGAGAAACAGCTGTGAAGCCGATATCAAAGACACTCATGTGGACACAAGATGATCTAATCGCCGATTCAAACATGAACGTTAAGAATCAATAAACTCTGTTATCCAAAGCATCCCATTATGATGTCTAACTCATTAAGATGCAAATATGCGATTATATCTTAGGAATCGAAATTGTTCGTTAAGCGACAACTCCTTGTAAAACCTCATTTAAATACCATACAAGAAATTTGACAATTATAATATCCTTAGTATACATTGGCTGATCAAACGACGTTAGTGTTGGCAACTCTTGACGAAGAATTCTTCAACTGAAGATCGATGATCGAAACCTTATATAGGTGAAAGCAAAGCTGATTTCTAAACCGACCGAGTTTATCTCGAATTTATGTGCGCAAACCTCTCAACCAAAAGGAGCATAAAGTCTTTTCGTGTGATACGTGAAAGAAAGATCTGAACTAAAGGACCAATATTCGTAACTCTGTATTGAATGTGTTTCCATCAATGACTTCTTGACAAAGAATCATCTGATCAAGTGTTTCTGTTAGAATAATAGACCAACGCTAGAGGGGGGTGAATAGCGTTTGATCAAGAAATCGCAAGAATAAAAAATGAATAAGCGAGGAGTAAAGAGAAAAGAAAGAGGCACACCGATTTTACCCTGTTTCACCACAACTTGTGGCTAATCCAGCCTCCCGAGAGACTCTCTCGAGCTACACTACTATCTCGTTAAGCTTAACGGTGCTTAACAAACCCGTACAACTTTAGAATTCGAGTCACACGAACCTCAACGACCCTTCGAAGGAAACAACCCTTCCTTCGAACAACAAGAGAAGTACCTTCTCTTGTCAAGTGTCTAAGAACACTAAAATCACTCAAGAACAATACTCTCTTTTTAGAGTGGATATTGAGTAAACTAAGAACATTCAAGAACACAATACAAGCTTCACAAAAATGGCTCTCAAAAGCTATGAATGATCAAGGAATGGTTTGCAATGAAAGAGTAGGAGTTGTGAAGTAATGTGTTGTGTAAAACAGACCCAAACACCCCATTTTATAGTGGAAAAATAGGCTCCAACGGACCAAAACATTTAAGGGGTGATTGGCACAATTTGTGGGATTTGATTAAAATTGGATCTGCTGAAATTCACCTAGACAGCGCTGTCCTAGGCCTGGACATCGCTGTTCTAGGCTTGTGGTTTGAAAAAATGGGAAGCAACGGTCATGCCAACAGCGATGTCTAGAAACCCTACATCGCTGTTTTGGCTGTTGACTTCCAAACAAGGAAAGTTTTAGCCTTAAATTCCTTCCAACGGTCAGGTCTCTACATCGATGTTCTATACTAGAACATCGCTGTTTAGGTCTGCCTTTGAAGATGGAATTTTGGTCTTACAGCGCTGTTTCTGGGTCAACATCGCTGTCCAAAAACTTTCTGCCAATGTACTATGTTTTTGGCTTAGGTTGGACAGCGCTGTAGGGGAGCCTACATCGCTGTTCCAGAAGTTTTTGGAAATCCAACCTTGGCTCAACAGCAATGTCAAAAGTCCAACATCGCTGTTGGAAGACTTAACGCCAAACCATGTTTCTGGCTACCCAGGCCAGACAGCGCTGTTGATTACCTCAACATCGCTGTTGGGCTTGGTTAGTCAGACCCATGGTTGGTTTAGTCACGCCGTTAGCCGATATCAAAAACGCAAGTTCTCCAAAGTAAAAACCAAGTTTAGAAAACATTTGTTCATTGCATTTCGCTAAGAAATCAAGTAAAACATCTTAAAAACCACGTCATTTAGTTGAAAACCACGGCTAGCCAAGTTCGTGCCGTTTCGCATGGTTTTCACTAAACGACCAAAAACGGAAGGTGGTTTTTGAGGCGTTTTTGTTGGAGAACTATTTAAATATGCCCAGAAGTAAAAACCAGTCATAAAAAGTTGAAAACCACTTGGTTGGTTCGGACGCCAAAAACGATGCCGAAAACCGAAAGCCGAACGCCGGTTTCCGAAAGTCGAACGCCGGATGGCTTGGTTTTTGGCTTGGGCGAACTCCAAGTGTTTTGACCCATGTTTAAACTTAAGAAAAGTTTTTGAACATGTAAAAGAGATTTTTATGAATTACGCCTAGAGAGCCAAGATTTGGAATTTTGTGCCGGTCTTGATCACATTAAGACAGACTCAGTACAATACTAGTTCTTCGTTCTTGATTCTGGGTTCTTGGTTCTCTAGTCATCATGCCATGTTCCTTCGCCTTGGTTTTGCTCACTTTAGCTTTGATATGTCGCGGCGGTTTGGCATTATCAAAACCTGTCATAAGAACAAACACAGTTTAGTACGACATAGGCGTAAACCCGTGTTCCAACAATTTCCCCCTTTTTGATAATGGCAAACAAGACGGGGATATGCATACTAAGGGTTATTTGTTTCTCAAAGGTTGTAAGAAAAAGGTTCCCCCTTAATTTGTGCCAAAAAAAAATTTAGTTGGATTAAAAACAAACGGTCTCGTTTATAGAGACGTTCCCCCTTAGTATATGCATAGCCCTTTTCTTCCCCCTTTTGACATTAACAAAAAGATAAATGAAATGATTTTATTTAATAAAGGGGAATAGCGGAGTACAACGGAACCATAATAAAAAAAGATAATTTAAGCAAAAGATAGAAATGCTCGGGTAGTCCTAGGCTTCGTCTTCTGTTTCCTCCTCGTCGTCGTCGACGTCCATCTCATCACCATCAACGGCATCGTCAAACTGATCCTCGTCCGGGGAGCTTGACTGGGCGAAGGACTCATCCTCTTCGTCTTCATCACCGTAGACTTCGCCGAGAAAGGTGCCGTGGAGTGGTGGCGGGACGTAGTTGATGCCTTGGAAGTACGCGTTCATGGCGTATCCTTGGCGTTGAACAGCCACGTCGAGCCGTTCAAGATAGCTCCCCATCCCGTCAACCTTGAGGTGGAGCCGGTTGAGGGAGTCGGCGATGGAGGCAAGGTTGGCTCGGGCCTGGGGTCCGGCTGGGCCAGCGGCAGTGGCAGTGCGGTGTGGCGCGACAGTGGCAGTTGCGGCGTTGTCCGACCGCTTGAGGAAGGTTTGGTTGCTGATTGTCCAAATCTTCGTGGCCTTCATGAGCGGGCCAATGGTTGTGGTTAGCCTGAACCGTTCAAGGATGTCCATCACCAAGAACGGGTACGGGAGGAGGTGGTCGTGCTCGGTGGACGCAGCAATCGTCATGTTGATCATGACAAACTTTGCCCAATTGATTGGGGCCGAGTGCATGATTGCGTGCATAAGTTTGAGGTCTTCACCGTGCATGATGGTGTGGCCGTGCTTCCTGGGTTTGAGGATTCGAGTGACGATGTAGAGGACCAGGCGGCCTTCGGGTTTGGCGGAGTGGATGGTTGGGCAGCCTGAGGCATGGCGTTTGAGCTCGGTGATGCCAAGCTCGTTGAGGATAAGGCCCTCGTTGTTGAGCACCCAATCCTCTCCACCATAGTGTGACACATCGTCGCCTTGGAAGGGGAGGCCGGCGATGCGCCCAAGCTGCTCCACGGTGAGCTCGATCGGCGTGCTCTTGACGAGTGAGTAGAGCACGTCGTCCTCACGGCGGAGGTTGGAGTAGAAGGCCCGAATCAGCGCCGGGTTGATCTCCTTGCGTGCCCTGGAGACAAACGGCCAAAGGCCGGCTTGATGAAGCTGCGCGTCGAGGTCGTCGTAGCCCTACAACTCCGGGTAACGCTCTGGGATGATTTGTGGGGGAGCCACAACCCGTTTAGAGAAGAAGGTGAGAAAACGGGTGCGCTCCTCCTCGGAATCGAACCAGAGATACGTCCCATCGCCGTAGTCGATGCGATCCTCGGGATTGGTTACCGGTGCCCGGGATTTTGCCTTGGATTTTCCGGAAGCTCCTGCCCTTTTCTTATCTTTGGCCATGGTGATGAAGAAATCTCAAAAAGAATGTTAGAGAGGATAAAATATGCAAGGAGATTGAAGAAGATTGAGTTTAGATGTGAGAAGAAGGTAAGTAGGAGGCCAAATATATATAGGATTAGGTTTCCAACGTTCAAAAATTCAAAAATCTGGCATTTGGAGCATTTAATTCAGTGCTCAACGGATATTTTTTTTTTTGAAAATGTTGACCAGAACAGCGATGTTCTACCAGCGACATCGCTGTTCGGACAGCGCTGTTGTGCCTGGTACAGCGCTGTTCTGCGTCAAGTTTTTTTTAAAAAAAATTTGTAAAATTGGACAGCGCTGTTGCTCAAAGGACATTGCTGTTGAAAAAGTTTCTGGTTTGGAAAACAGCGATGTTGAAAAAAGAGACAGCGCTGTTGAAAAAGTTTCTGGAAGTAAAAATGTAAGGGACTCCCTGGGACAGCGCTGTTGGTCTTGATGGACAGCGCTGTTGAAAAACTTTCTGGTTGGCGGTGTTTCCCTCAACAGCGCTGTTGTGTCTCCTGGACAGCGCTGTTTGTATGGTTTCCCCTGATTTCATGAACGGGGTACCTGCAAAAAAGAAAAAGTTCTCCAACGCTCAAGTTAGTAAAAGTTTAATAAATTTAGATGCACAACTTAGATCATTGTGGAGTCAAGGATTCCGAGTTCACTTCGAATGCGGAAGAACGACTCTTTCTCTAAAGGTTTTGTGAAAATGTCGGCTAATTGGTTGTGTGTTTCAACAAACTCAATCTCGACATCACCTTTGAGAACATGATCTCTAATGAAATGATGCCTAATGTCAATGTGTTTCGTCCTTGAGTGAAGAACGGGGTTCTTCGTCAAGCTTATGGCGCTAGTATTATCACAACGAAGAGGGACGTGATTGATACTAAGGCCATAGTCCACGAGTTGTTGCTTCATCCAAAGGATTTGAGCACAACAACTGCCGACGGCTACATATTCCGCTTCGGTTGTGGATAACGCAACACTGACTTGTTTCTTACTAAACCATGAGACTAGAGAGCTACCAAGTAAGTGGCAAGTCCCACTCGTACTTTTACGGTCTAATTTGCAACCGGCAAAGTCCGAGTCGGAATAACCAACGAGATGACAAGAAGAGCCTTTTGGATACCACAGTCCAACGTTAACCGTGCCGACAAGGTATTTCATGATCCGTTTCACCGCGGTTAAGTG